GTCAGCTTAATGGAATATTTTGTCCTTTAAGGTCAAACCTCATTTCCGCACATTCTGTTACATGTCTCAGATCAGCTGCAGGTCAGATGGAGCAATTAAAATAACTGTGTTTTTGTTAAGCCCAACCTAACAAAATATTGATCTCTGCTACCAAAGCAACTGTTGCTATATGTATGCTTTACTATCAGACCAGCTTTAGCTGTTAGTCTCTTTCTCTGTACAATGTTTTAAAAGCCTATTATACTTTTTACACTTCCAGCTTACTTTAGAGTGTAATGTTCGCTAAAGATGTCTAAATGTCTACAGCCGGGATTATTTACTTTATCAGTAACAACACAAGTTTCTAACCTCATTGACTACATGGCTACATTTTTCCTATCAAACATGTCATAATATCTCCAATTGAAACAACATTCATTTAGTCATTCATTCATTTTCCTTCGGCTTAGTCCTTTATTTATCAGGGGTCGCCACAGCGGAATGAACCACCAACTATTCCAGCATATGTCTTATGCAGCAGATGCACTTCCAGTCACAACCCAGTACTGGAAACACCCATACACATTCATTCACACACGCATACACACACTCATACACTTCGGCCAATTTAGTTTATTCAATTCACCTACATGTATAGCGCATGTCTTTGGACTGTGGGGGAAACCGGAGCACCTGGAGGACACCCATGCGAACACTGGGAGAACATGCAAACTCCATTCAGAAATGCCAACTGGCCCAGTAGGGACTCGAATCAGTGACCTTCTCGCTGTGAGGCTGCAGAGCTAACCACTGAGCCACCGTGCCACCCTATAGAAATAACCAGGGTTGGAGTGGGACTCCTTTTCAGCCCTGGAGTTTCAAGCGACCGGCCCACTTCAGTTCACAACTGATTATATTAAAATAATGTAATTTTCAATGTTCATTTATAGGGATGTTACAATATTGTAAATACCGTCATACCGCAATAGTAATTTTTTTCAATATTACCGTAGGCGCATGACTCAATAAAACTATATTTCTGAGAAACGTTTGCTTAAGCGAATGAAGTGAACGGGAGGTAGCGGGAACTACAATTCCCATCAGCCTAGGCGTGGCCATCATCCTTTGCGGTCTGTTGTCACTACAGATCCAGTAATGCGGAAATGGAGTGTGTTGCTAGTAGTGGGGAAGAAAAAGAGCTGGAAATGATCGAACCTAAAGCGGGTTTTAAGTCGGATGTGTGGAAGCATTTCGGTTTCTTTCTAAAAAGATACGAAAAAGGAGAAAAGGTGACAGACAAAGAAAAAAACAATATGCAGGCACTGCCAGACTGTGGTGAAATATAAGTCGGGGATACGACTAATAACAGTCATGGGGACTGCAGAACACAGCACACTGTTCAGACTGATGCAGATATTGACTTGTACCGCAAAGAGACCTCTATCTCACTCATGTCTTGTCCTCTCAATTGGTGGAAAGACAATGCACAGCGTTACCCACTGCTGTCAACCTTGGCTTAATCATATCTCTCTGTCCCAGAAACATCAGTCCCTAATGAGAGGGTTTTTTTCTGTTGCAGGGGACATGCCCAGAGATCCCAGCTTTTACCAGATTATAGTTATATGATAATTTTTCTTTAAAAACCCATCTCTATCTGAGTGAGTGAGTGATTAAATGTTGAATGTGATGAGTTTTCAACAATACTAAATTGACACTTTATTTTTTTTATATGGTTTAATAGTTTTTTGTTATTAAAATTGAAAAATTGAGGTTCCTGTTTCGAAACTTACAGATAGATGGCTAATTTGTATGTCATTGATATGTTCAGTGCTAAGGTAAATAAACACTTTTGGCACTTTGAGTCTTTTCATTAGTTTTGTTTTTCCTGTAAATTATTCAATAAATACCGTACCGTTCCATTCATACCGAGGCATTATCGTACCATGAAATTCTCATACCGCTACATCCCTATTCATTAATGAATATTTGAATATAAATGAATATTTAGTTGAACAGTACCAGAATTTATTTTCTGTAAGAGTTATTGCTCATAAATATCCAAACCTTAAAATTAAAAAATATAAAAATAAATAGAAATATATATATATATATATTAAGCTACATGTATAAAATAAAGATTAAAATTAAATGTATTGAATTTGCTTTATAACTTTGCTTTGCTTTGCTTTAAAAATTTTGTCATAAATATGAGAACATTAAAGGGTAGCTAAATCTCCAACACTATTCTTTAACACATCACAATGTCCTTTTCTGCAATATCTGAATATATGTTGTAGGATTCTAAAAAAAGAAATTTGACTCTGAATGTCGTGTGTTTAAGGTAGAATGGACAACAAATTATACTACTTCACTAATATCAGACAGAAATCGGTAGATCTAATATGCCAAGAAAGTATTGCTGTTTTTAAAGACTACCACCCAATTAAAGGGGGCGATCACACCGAACGCGCATTTACGTTCTAAAAACGTGAGGTGCACCACACTGCCTTTTTGTTGACAAGAAAAAAAGCAGTGCACTGAATCAGCTGGGTATTTTGCGAGAGTGTTGCTGATGATATTAATATAGCTTTATTTTCAAGCTCATTGTTCACATTAACACACTCATAATAACATAACTTGGAATAACAAGATTCTTCTTCGGTTTTATCTCATAGTTTTATAATGACTGATACAAGCATATTAATTCAAGCTCAAATGAGATTGTTGTGAATTTGACTCAAATCATACAGTAAATGCTGGTTAAATGTGTTCATTTTTGTCATAGAATATATTTTGCATGCACACATCCACTTCAAAAAAGTTATTTTATCAAAGATTTGTGGTTTTGTCATGTTTTATGATGATTGATCTGTATATTCTAATAGCAGCGGGGATTAGATTATTGTAATTTGACTAAGTAGTTAAGAATTTAAGTGTTAATATGAGATTTTTTCTATCAGACGATATCGTTTCTGTTCTCCACTGTAAAAATTATTACATTATTATTATTATCATTATTATATTTTATAAGAGACTATTTTATTGTTTTAAGATGATTGATAAGTGATGATAAATATAAATAGCAGTGCAAATTAATTTGACTTGTAAATTTGACTCAATAATAACTATTAAAAAAAATCAGTTTTGTGTTAATGTGATACGCGGTAGGTAGTGCTATCGCCTCACAGCAAGAAGGTCGCTGGTTCAAGCCTCGGCTGGGTCAGTTGACGTTTCTGTGTGGAGTTCGCATGTCCTCCCTCCGTGCGCTACAGGTGAATTAGGTAAAATAAATTTAGTCCGTAGTGTATGAGTGTGTATGGATGTTTCCCAGACATAGGTTGCAGCTGGAAGGGTATCCAATGCATAAAACATATGCTGGATAAGTTGGCGGTTCATTCCGCTGTGGCAACCCTAGGTTAATAAAGGGACTAAGCCGAAAAGAAAATTAATGAATGAATGTTAATGTGATATTTTTCTGTCCGATATTACATGTACCATGCATAGTCACTGTAAACAAGTTATTTTTTGAAGGATTTGACACGTGGCCCTTTACTTGGTTTGCAAAACTTGATGTGGCCCTAGGGTCTAAAAAGTTTGCCTACCACTGGCTTATAGCTAAGTGCCAATGGGCTGTTTATGCACAGCTAGTGTTTTTCAGCCAACAATAAAGACCCTTTTACAGCATGCATCCATGTTGTAATATAATTAAAATACAATCAGTTAAATAGACTTAACCAATCATTTAGTTGTTCAAGAGTAGAATGAGATGAAAGACGGTGTAAGTGGCGTCAGTATCTGCAGGCTAGTACAAAAACTCCACTGAAAATACCGGGGTAAAATAAATTTCCAAATTGTAAAGACATGGGGCAGAATAAATGGAATTTAATGCAGTGATTCTTGTGCGCTCTGAGAAGCACTTTATATTATATATATCTATCAGGTGGTGAAGATTGCAGATTTTTAAAGAAATCAGGCGTAACAAATGGCATATTTTTTTGTTTTTCTCCTTTTGCACTCAACAAACAAGCAAATGAACAGAGAAGGGTCTCATGACCTTTAGGTTAACTTCACACCTTTCTCCAAATTTCAGGAGGTAAAATATTGACACTTAAGCATGACCAAATAACCAGAGAAGGGTCTCCGGACCTTAAGGTTAACTTTCTCCAAATTTCAGGAGGTAAAATATTGACTCTAGATAATCATGCTGACACTACAAACCTCAAATTTGTGCTTTGCAATCAAAAATAATGTGCACCTAGCTGAGAGAGAAGGTGGGCCTGATCAACTCAATCAACTCTCTTACCTATTAGACCGACCTTTGGCCAGCACCCAAATTTTGACAATAAAGGTGAGGGTTTCTTGCTGGAACATTGAAAGCTCAGCCGTGAGATAAGTACACATCGCCCGGCATTCTCTGACACACGTGTTGGTTTTCCAATGTGACTGCAACAGGCTCCCCCGTCTTTGAAGAGGAAAATGATGGCACGTCTCTGAGGTTGTAAACACTTGTATCAAATGGCTTGAAGTTTTCATTATCTGTCTTTTATTCATGTTATCTCATCTTTATTTCGCATTATAAGCCTTTTATGCAATTTTGTTGTATTTCGATTAATGATGTTCATGAGTATGATTCATGATTATTGAATATTATTGTGATAACTGATATCAGCTGTGTGTACCAGCAATAAACAGTTGTATTGCTTGATTAGTATGGTGAATGGACCATTATTGGTGCCTTCTGTTGTCGATTAGCACCACACTTGTCTCACTTGAGTAAAAATTTAAACCATACTAAAACCTTTTTGGTATGCTGAAACTATTTACATACTAAAATTTGGGGCTTACTAAAACATCAGGTCTCAACTAAAAAGGTTTTGTAATGGCTTGACAGTTCACAGGAAGCTCTTATGCTGGCTGACTGAAAAGGAAACATCCCTGTGCATATACCACATTAGATGAACCCAACAAGCTGGACTTCATTGTTCTATCCCTGCACATCAAGCACTTTTCTATAATCTCACCTCTGTCAGCACTTCCAGCTCATTGGCATACGTAGGGCGGCTGTAGACAAAAACAGGACGTGCCAGTCCCTCTCCCACCGATGCCAATCTCATTCCCTCCTTCACCCGGTTTCGGACAAACTGGCGCCCGAAGGATGTTGAACGCAACACAGAGCCCATGTAGATTGAAGGAAAGAGTGCTGTGCTTTCAGTCCACAGCCACTTGAGCAGGTCGTTTCTGACCAACTCCACATCCGGACAGCGCCCCGTATAGCTCTCCAGACTGTTACGGTAGTCGTGGTTGTAGCAGTCAGGGAAGAGGTAGAAGCCCCACAATTGGTGAGGGCGCAAACTTTTAGCCAAGCGTAAGGTCTCCTGCATGAATTTACGACTGGACAACTCAAACTCCATTTGGGCTGTTTTGCTTATCTGGGAAGAAGTCCAATCCGGGTTTTTTTGGCTCACCAAATGCTTTGACTGTCTTTTGTAAATTTCTTTAGCTTCCCAATTTCGTATCCACAATGGACGCCATTCCTCCCAATCGATGACAGCCAGACCTTTAGCCAACGGGTCTCGAATGTACTTCTCAATTCCCTCCGGCATCTTCTCTAGATGTTGCGTGAGGCTGGCGATTTGTGGTAGGCCACCATTGACGGCAGTACCGTCCTCATAATGAGGATACAGGCCCAGGCGGTCTTTGTAAAAGATGGTGAGGTTCTGCTTGGTGAAGCCTTGATTTGGTGAAGCCACGATCTGAAACTGATCGAGCTGGAAATGAACTTTGTGGCGAGGCCTGCAGTCTTCGGTTGGGGCGTTCCAAACCAGAACCAGAGGTTTTTGGGGGTAGAGAGGCCATCTGGTGGGCTTCAGATCTTCAGCTAGAGTTAGATGAACCAGCAAACAGATTCTCCAGTAAAGTCGAATCCAATGAGCCATCACTTTGGTTCTCCAAGATAAGGGCTGATGTGAAAAAAACACAAATTGTAATGATACAAAAAGCAGAATTGAGTCAATTAATATCAGGTTCTTTCTTTTTATTTGCCAAAAAAAGTGAATACACTTAATTCGTCAAGGATACACACGATACAGTTTTAAAAAACAATACTTATGGATCAGGGTGGGGCCAAATAGGTAGGGGTGTCAAAATTAATCGTTTCTTCGGTGCAACATGATGCAGACGCGGACAATTCGGTATCGGTTCAGTAATAATCATAACCGGTTATTAATGACATCATTTACATCATATGCGCTCTGTCGTGAGGAAGCCGATCGCGAGTATTTACAATGCTCTAACTACTTAAAACTCATAAACTGTGCACAATTTCACTGTGTGTGTTTGCTGGATCAGTCTTTCACTGACATATACAACAAAAGCCCCTATTACACTGAGATTGAGAGAATGAAAGTACTCCATTTCTCTCTCTCTCTCACACACACACACACACACAGTGGCCCATTTGACCTGCTGGCGTGGCTTTTCTTCTCCTCTCGGCTGTTTTACAGCGATACTTCTGGATACAGAAACGAGCGAGTGTCTGCAGAGTTTTTTCCACCGTGTTTATCATGCATCAGCTGTGAGATCGCCGCTGCCGCCTGCCGCTCTCATTCATCAGTGAAAAGCGCAGCGCGCAAGAGCCAATCGCAAACGTTTTTGTTGAGGGTGTGACCAATTAAAGAGGTGTAAGAGAACTAGACCAGGATCAGAAATTGAGCTGGATATTTATATTTGTTTATATTATTTGCTTAATGCTCGTTTTGTTTAAAGTTACAGTTTATATATCTGACTGTTTGTATTAAATGACAAAATTGTATTACAAATAGTATATAAATATAAATATATTCATACATTTTAATATTATGCTGCTGCTGTGAAGAAAATATAAAACTGTGTATGGAAAGCACCGTGATGCACCGAAATATCGAATTGAACCGAATCGATGGCATGATAATCGTAACCGAACCGAACCGTGAGACTAGTGTAGGTTCACAGCTCTACAAATAGGAGCGCTCATTCTGATCCCCTGAGCTCTGCGAGGGTTGTGGAAATTCCAAATTGAACCAAAACAAACCATTACAATTGGCTTAAGATTGGCAAGAAAAATTTGGGAACTAAAAAAAAACTTTTATCTTTTTTTTCTCTTTTATTTATTGTTAACAATGCATACAAGCTGGAAAAAACACTATAATAAAATATATCAATTCAACTAAGCCCCCCCCCCCCCCCCCCCCCCAATGAATAGAAGTTGAACAGAAAAACAAAAGACAAAAACAAAGTACAGTATCAAGTATCATCAAGTATAAGGCAATCATTCTGGATCCTGATCATTGTTTTGTGCGATAAACATGAAGATATTGTCAGCAGCTAATGTTCAGATCATTAATGTACTTATTTGTACCAAGTTCACTCGAGCTGTGGATAATTCCAACATTATAATGTCCTGTTTCATTCAATCATTTTCTTTTCGGCTTAGTCTCTTTATTAATCCAGGGTCGCCACAGCGGAATGAACCGCCTACTTATCCAGCATGTTTTTGCGCAGCGAATGCCCTTCCAGCCGCAACCCATCTCTGGGAAACATCCACACACACTCATTCACACTCATACACTATGGACAATTTAGCTTACCCAATTCACCTGTACCGCATGTCTTTGGACTGTGGGGGAAACTCAAGCACCCAGAGGAAACCCACACAAACGCAGGGAGAACAGGGAGAACGAGGCTCAAACCAGCAACCTTCTCGTTGTGAGGCGACAGCACTACCTACTGCGCCACTGTGTCGCCCAACACATATATTTCTCAAATTAAATAATATCACATTGTTCATTGCAATCCATTTAGACTATAATAGTAATAATTTATTAGAAACTAAAAAAGGGATCATTTTAATAAAGCAATTGTTCTAAATAATCTAAAAATATTAACATTTTAAATTGTTTTTTTTTTGTGTAACGTAAGCGGTGAAAATGTGTGCTGTCCACTATCACAGAAAATACAATCTGACCTTTACTAAATTAAATATTATAACATTCTTTACAATTCATTATTTATAATAAAATATTGTGTTACATTATGGTACAATCTGTCTTTTTACTGAAGTAAATATTATACTAATTATTACAACATTAAATATTATGTGTTAACTGTAATTTATCACATACATAAACGTTTATTTTGCCATATAAGACGGCAGAGAGATCTAATGTAATCTGTGCGTTATGAAGGACATTTCAAATCCTGCTTTCATGTAACATCATACACAATAATACAATTCATAGAAAGACGCCTGACGGCAGAATGGCCAGATCAGACACTGATCTCTCTGACCTATGATAAACAGAAACATGAATGAGGCCTTTCAAGATCTTATATTTCTTATATATATTATATTCTTCTTATATAGTAGTAAAGGTGAAAGCTAAAAGAAAATTAATAAGTTTAATCTCCATCAGATGCTTCTCATTAATGCAAAATTACAGAACTCACAATCTCCAATAATCATTCAATTTTGTACAATTGTTGATGTATATTATCTACATTCATCTTATAGCGCTATTGTGTAGTCGTTTAATTAATTTTGTCTCATTTATGTCGAGAAAATGAACTGTATTTGTTTATATTTAAAGAAAACAACTCAGTTAAATCACTCTGAACTATTAAAGAACAACATCTTGAGCTAATAATTCATTATTTTGACATTTCTGAGAGTGTAAAAGTGTTTAAACCATCAGTAGTCCATTGAAATCATCCACAGAGCATCAAAACAACTTTTTGGTGGGAAGAAAAACTCACCTTTGACATTAAAAATAAGAGTCATTCCCGGATAAACAACTCCTTCCATATATATTATGTCAAAATAAACTTTCATTTTGGATGTGAATAATTGTGATTAGTCTTTGCTCAGCATTAAAAAAATGCATATTAATATAATGTTATTCAAATTCCAAGTGCCTTATTTCCATCTTTAAAAAAAATCACAATCAGACTTCTTGAAGTGAATTAAAAATATTATAAATAATAATAATAAATTGAATAATATTATAATAACATTCTAAGAATAAATAAATAAAATTAAATAAAAACGATCAAACTAAAGCTAAAAGACAATGAATATGCTTATGAATCTCCTATTCATCAGATGCTTCTCATTAATGCAAAATTACAGACCTCACAATCTCCAATAATCATTTAATTTTGTCCAATTGATGATATATATGAGCAATTCCATGCAAATATCAACCTTGACATGAAAAAATGTTTAGTTTTCACCAAAATACAGAAACCATTTCTGTTTTTTTTTTGCTGAGCAAGTATTTTATAGTACTTTAGAAATTCTCAAAACTGCATCTGTCAGTGTGTTCAAACTACTCTTTGAGTTACCATATTTTTTTTGGGGGGGGGGGGGGAGGGGGGGGTGGGGGGTTGTGCAGTTTAATTGACAGCATTTCTACAAAGTATGTTGTATACTGTAAACCACAGACTTTTTTTGACACATCCGCAACGCATGTTTGCTTATCTCATTTAAAATACAAACAATTTTTACAGATTGATATTTTTCTGCTCCCTTAACTCTGTGGTCAGTTGTTGTGGAAAATATAAACAAAAGTTTCAAAATAATGTTAACATGTACGATGCGAATTTATGTTTTGAGTGTTTCCTGCAAATGTCACATCCATAATGCTGGAACTGCTCATATATATTATTAACGTTGGCTACATTAAACTTACAGCTCTATCGTGTAGTCGTTTAATTCATTTTATCTAATTTTTGTCGAGAAAATGAACTGTATTTGTTCATATTTAAAGAAAACAACTCAGTTAAATCACTCTGAACTATTAAAGAACAACATCTTGGGCTAATAATAGATTATTTTAACATCATACACAATTATACAGTTCATAGAAAGATGCCTGATGGCAGAATGTCCAGATCAGACTCTGATCTCTCTGACCTATGATAAAAAGAAACATGAATGAGGCCTTATAAGATCTCCTTTGTTTCTTATATAGTAGTAAAGATGAAAGCTAAAAGAAAATGAATATGCTTATCTTCTTTTCACCAGATGCTTCTCATTAATGCAAAATTACAGACCCCACAATCTCCAATAATCATTAAATTCTGTACAATTGTTGATATATTATCAACACTAAACTTACGGCTCAATCATGTAGTCGTTTAATTCATTTAGTCTCATTTTCGTCGAGGAAATTAACTGAATTCATTCATATTTGAAGAAAACAGCTCAGTTAAATCACTCTGAACTATTAAAGTACAACATCTTGGGCTAATAATACTATATTTAAACATTTCTGAGAGTTATAAAAGTGTTTAAACGATTATTAGTCAGTTGAAATCATCCACAGAGCATCAAAACAACTTTTCGGTGGGAAGAAAAACTCACCTTTGACATTAAAAATAAGAGTCATTCCCAGATAAATAACTCCATCCTGTGGTTGCGCTGTAAATCTGTGTCGCCTGTTGCCTCCGACATAGAAACGTTCGCGAATATTCGTCTGCAAATATGAATGTATATGCGAGAATCTGCTCGCATTCTTCATCCGAGACGCCTTTATCTGTGCGAGGACTTCAAAGCGCCGCTCTCAGAAGTTTCATTGATTCGCTGCAGGGGGCGTGGCTTTATTGCAGCTCACACAGGGGCGTGTTTTCCTCTATGCAAATGAGAGAAATGTGTTCAAACGAAGGTCTTTTCCCCCCATTTTTAGACCAGGGGTGCCCAAACTTTTTCGTATGATGGGCCAAAATTCAAATATTGAGAACAAGGGAGCCGAAGGTAAATATACCAAACTATATTACATTGAATTGCCATTTCTTAATTTATTTCATAATATTTCAGTAGAATAATATTCATATAGTATAATAAATAGAAAACATTACTTTTAATTGTATTTAACTAATGCTGTATAACTTTTTAAATTATAACGTATTGCATAAAAAACAAGCAAGCACATTTATAACAATTTATAAGAAAGTGGTGTTCAATGCTGAATGCAAGCACTCTGACTTGATTTGCTCACCCAAGTCTCTGGATTGCGGGGTGACAGTGTGTACATTTAAACAAAATCTGATCAATTTACACCATTTTATTAAAACATTTCATTTCAGCTAGCTTTTAAAAACAAAAGCAACAAACAAAAAGGTCACATTAAATTTTAATTGACAATTCTCATCATTCTTCTTCTCTTCTCAGATGGGATGATGGGCCAAATCAAAGGTTACCATATGCCAACTTTGGCCCCTGGGCCCTACTAGGGCATCTCTGCATAAGACAAACATCAAGACTATGCATAAACTTTTGTTATGTGGTAAGCAATATTGAGTTTAAAGAGTTCCTATTATGGGTTTTTAAAAATGAGCTTCCATGCAGTGTGTAACACAGCTCTAAGCGAATGAAAAGGGAATGAGGTTTAAATCTAAAAGTGCAGCATGTTTAAATCTATTGATTCTTTAGTGAAATAGTCAACGCGGAGTCGAATAAACAAATCAAGTTGGGTTCGGATCTTTTGTTTGATTGCATCGACGTTGATGCGGTACATCACCAAATATGTACTTTCAGTTCCGATTTGCATGCGCTTTCACTCCACACACTAGTGGATGTGCGGGGGATCACGGGACTGATCATGACGCGAAGATGACGATCACTGACAGAGGGAGATTTGGCTGCGGGGAATGAAGGGTTGAAGTTCATTTTCACAACAATACCACAGTATAGCCAACCATGTGCTGTGTTTGTTCCTGTCATTTTTATGATTTTTGATACATTAACCTACGCTGCAATGCGGGATTCGTCAGCCGTTTGCTATTGAATGAGCAGCAGAGACTATAGGGCTTTGTCAGACTTTGACAGGGGCTTTATCAGTAACTTTTACAGTTCAAATGGACCAGTTTCTTTAGTTCTCGTTTTGTTTAGTTTGCAAAATATGCGTTTAATTGTGTGTTATAAGTTGTAATCGCTCCCGCGCAGCTTGTAATCACGTATCTATTATAGATCAGTGCTTGAACTTTATCTCTCAGGTTAAATCTGTATGGGGCTGTTCACATATCACGTCCAAAACCATGTTAAAAATGTAACGCTTGCTTCTTCCTTTACTGATTTAGATGTGTTTCTGAACTGGCGATTCTCTGCTGTTTGTCTTTGCTATGGCCACCATCAGCTGTTCCTACACACACACGGCACATTTTCAAAATAGTTAAACTTTTGCCACTGTGTGGATTAATACTGAATAAGTGTCATTATTACTTTGGGTTACAGTTAAGAGTAGAGTATGTGCTGGTGTTTAACAGCATTGATTTATTGCATTCCTGCATTGGGGTCTCACATACTTTCTACTACTTCATACTGTGGTCCTAGTGGGCAATTCTCTCTGTCTCATGCCGAATGCAGTCGGCCAATTAAAACAGACTGTCATCGGTCCAATCAGCGCAGATTAGCTTCGCGGTAAGGAGGGGTTTGGGAACAAATGATTCGCTGAACAAAACATATGGGAGTCGCTGGGATAATTATATTAAAACAGATGCATATTATAGAACAATGAATGTGTTTTTTGACCTTGCATGCATATCAGCCTGTTGATGGAGACCCCAAAAACCAAAATATGACCTAATATAATGCAAAATACGGGCTCTTTAATATAAAATAAAACAAGGGGAAAATAGTATTAAAAATTTTTATTATTATAAAAAAGTGGCACTATGCTAGTATACAATTCTGAACATTACATTGTATGTATAATACCTTTATATACAACTGTAATACTTGTATTACTATACAATTATATGCAATTATTAATATATAATTACAATACATTAATGTTCTTATAATATTTAGTCGGGCGTCACGGTAGCGCAGTGGATAGCATGATCGCCTTACAGCAAGAAGGTCACCGGTTCGAGCCTCAGCTGGGTCAGTTGGCATTTCTGTGAGGAGTTTGCATGTTCTCCCCGTGTTCGAGTGGGTTTCTTCCGGGTGCTCCGGTTTCCCCACAAGCCCAAAGACATATGGTATAGGTGAATTGGGCAAGTTAAATTGTCTGTAGTGGTGTTTCCCAGAGATAGGTTGCAGCTGGAGGGGCATCCGCTGAGTAAAACATGTGCTGGAAAAGTTGGCGGTTCATTCTGCTGTGGCAACCCCTGATTAATAAATGGACTAAGCCGAAAAAACAACAACAAATGAATGAATAACATTAATCATTTTTTATTTATGAAACAGAAAATTAACTGTTTTGTTTCCATAATTACTTTATCGAAATGTTTTATTATTTGTTTTTATTAATAAAATAAATAATATAAATATATTTAATGTATAAAAATGCAAATATAATATGAATTAAAATTAGTATTATTAATGTATTACAAATTGTTCATTTTTTTGTTAGAAATAATATTTGAAACGTTTATTATTTTTAAGTGCACGTATAATTTTTATTTCATGTTAACATTTTAGCAATATCATTAGAATATTAGCAATATTGAGTCAAGGTTTGGTATTTAAAAATCTGCATAAATCTATTAAGATGTTACTAATATCTGAGGACGCATGAGACAAAATCAAATGAACGCCGCTTTCAAGTGTATTCATTCTTTCAATGACCTGCTGAAATCCTGTTCCGCCGCTGTTCTGCTGACTCAAGAGTGAGTGCTCACTGTGTGTGTGTGTGTGTGTGTGTGTGTGTTCATGAAAGAGAGAGCGACACTTCCTTCCTCGACCCTGTTCCTTTACTCCCCGTTCTTGGGCCTTTACATCACGGTTTCTTCCAGCGGCAGGAAGCTTTAACAATATGAGAGGAACTGGACACACACACACCCATCACCGCCCGCCTCCCGAAAATGGCAAAGTCACATCCTTGAGCGGCAGGAGAGATCAGAGGCGCAGTTTTCCTGTGCGTTATCGGTCCATCAGACACTCCTATAGTAAACCTGCAGGTCAAAGGTCAAGCTGCAGCTTCATTGAGGACAGTGATGAATGAGTCAGATTGGTGAGGATGAGAGTCTTAAGGTAAGATCTTCATATGACAAGCAAACACTGAGGCCTGTGTGTGTGTGTGTATGTGACTTTCAAAAAGTATAGTTATTACTGTTTTACATAAAGATACACAAGCAAACACATACAAACAATCGCACACACAGACACGCACACACAAAAACACAGAAACTAACTCACTTAGAAACTCACATACTCAGACACACACACACACACACACACAGTATGCACGCAGACACACTCACACACACAGACACAAAAAACAAACACAAATATGGACACAGACACACACACACACAGACAAACATACACACAGAATTATACACAGATATGCACTCACTCACACAAAAACAAAGGAACTCACTCACACACACACACACAAACCCACACACATACAGTATGCACAAGGACACTCACACACTCAAACACACACACACACACACACACACGCACACACACACACTCATATATGCAAACACACATCTACAAACATAGACACACGCACTCACTCACATAGACACACTCACTCTCACACACACAAACAAACAAACTTACACAAATATCTGCAACACATACACACACATGTAGAGACAGAGACAAAAACAGGAGCTCACAAAAACACAGGAGCTCACACACCCACACACACACACACAAAAAACCCAGGAAGTCACTCATACACTCAATCACACACAGAGACACATACCGTATGCACACAGACACACACTCATTCACACAGACACAAAAAACAAACACACATAGAATTACACAGATACACACTCACTCACACAAAAAACACAGGAACTCACTCACTCAAACACACACACAAGACACATTCAGTGTGCACACAGACACACACACTCACACATCCACACTCACGCGCACACACACACACACACACAAATAAAACATATATGCACACACAGGCATTGTCTCACACACACTCACACAAACACACACACACACACAAGACATATATGCACACACAGACACATATATGCACACAGACACACTCTCACACAGAAATATACATATATGCACATAGACAACCTCACACACACACACACACACACACACACACACACACACACACACACACACACAGAGTATGCACACTCAAAAACACAGCAACTCACTCAAACACACATACATACATACACACACACACACACACACACTTATTCACTCACACAAAGACACATTCATGCACACTTACTCACAGTAACTCTCTCACACATACACCCCCCCCCCCACACACACACACACACACACACCCCTGCGGGCTGCTGTAACCTTCACAGGTCTCCTCATCAGACTGACTCCTCCAGCAGCTCCTCCTCTTATCAGTGTCAGTGATTGTGCGCAGAAATGGCATCCTGTCGCCGCTTCCTGTATTCCGTTCACACGGGCGGGACGAAACATTCCTAAAGACGTCACAGAGACTGAAACACACCTCTGATAAAGCATCTCAGCCTCTGATCGGGAGAAAAAACCTTACAGCGGTGATCTTCAGAGAGCAGAAACACATTAAACAGATTCTGACCTCTGACCTTTCAGTGTCTGCCACACCCCAACACCCAGAGCCAGCAGAAATACAGCCAAAATCAACCTAACACCAACTGTTGGTCCCCCTACAGTACAGTCTTTTCTGATTTAGATAAATAAATCACTTCTATATAATCTGCTAAACCATTTTATTCATGTATATGAACTCATAACTTACTGTACAGTACATGTTTACAAGTGCAGATAGGGGTCACAACCCAACAAACAGAATCAGACACAACAGAATATCATAATATACAACACAATGATAATCACACACAAGTGCAGTGCGGTCGACATCAACAAACACCAGTGATTTATGTATAATCCCTGCATTGCTTTAGTTTTCCATACTTACTGTGCATCACAGAGGACAGAGTGATGCACGTCTGCTGTCAATACACCAAAACACTAATCAGAAAGTATGATGTTTTTGGTGGAAGCCTCGCTGTGGTGACGGACGGATGAAGGACGTCCGGGATCATGTCAGATTTCACACAGGATCACAGGAAAGTCCACGTGGATTCGGGGGTGATCTAATTTCACTATTCCCTGTAGACATGAGGATAAAAATACAAAGAAAACTCAATTATGTGATCCAAGGTGATCAACATGCTTAGGTGAGCTGCCAAGAACAAATGAATTAATAAATAACTGAATATAATATTTCAGCAAAATTCATGCTTAGATGAACGACTAGAAACAACTAAATGAAGGAAGGATGGAAGAAAGACACAAGGAGAAAGGAAGAATCAAAAACAGTAGAAGTTGGGAAGGAAAGAAGGAACGAATTAATGAACAGAGAAAAAGGGAATGAAAGTAGAATAAATGAAGGAAGGAAGGAAGGAAATCTAAGGAATGAATGAAAGAAGAAAAATTATTAAACAAAAAGAAAAAAGAAAGGAATGAAGAAAGGAAGGAAAGAAGGTAGGAAGGAAGGAACAAAAACAATAGTAGGAAGGAAGGAAAGAAACAAATCAATGAAAAAATTAAAACTTAATGAATACATAAATAAATAAATAAATAAATAAGTAAATGAAGGAAGGAAGGAAGGAAGGAAGAAAGGAAGGAAGGAAGGAAGGAAGGAAGGAAGGAAGGAAGGAAGGAAGGAAGGAGCGAGCAAAACAATAGTAGGTAGGAAAGAAAAAAATTAATGAACAAAGAAAAAGGTATAAATGAAAGTAAAATGAAGAAAAGAGGGAACGAAGGAAGAAGAAAGAATCCCAAACAATAGACGGAAGGAAAGAAAGAAAGAACAAATTAATGAACAAAAAATGAATGAATGAATAAATGAAGGAAAGATAAAGGAAGGAAAAAAAGAATAATCAAAAACAACAAAGGGAATTAAAGAAAAAACTAATGAACAAAGAAAAAAGAAATGAATGAATGAATAAAGGAAAAAAGGAAGGAAGGAAGAATCAAAAACAATAGAAGGAAGAAATAAAAGAAGAAAAATTAATGAACAAAGAAAAAAGAAATGGATGAATGACTGATTGAATGAATGAATGAATGAATGAATGAAGGAAAAAAGTAAGAATAAAAACAATAAAGGGAATTAATGAACAAAGAAAAAAGAAGGAAGGACATAAGGAAGGACAGACGGAAGTAAGGACGGAAGGGTAGAAGGAATAAAAAAAACAAATTGAATAACAAAATAATGAACATAAAAAAATAAAAATACAAAGGAAGGAAGGAAGCAAAAAAGCAAAGAGGGAAGGAAGGAAAGAAGAAGGGAAGGTAGAAATGAAAGGAACAAAATTATTAACAAGAAAGAAAGAAAGAAAGAAAGAAAGAAAGAAAGAAAGAAAGAAAGAAAGAAAGAAAGAAAGAAAGAAAGAAAGAAAGAAAGAAAGGATCAAAAACAATTGAAGGCAGGACTGAAAGAAGAAACAAATTAATGAACAGAAAAAAAGAATGAAAAAAGGGAATGAGTGGAATAAAAGTAGAATGAATAACTGAATGAACGAATGAAGGAAGGAAGGAAGAAAAGAAAGAAAGAAAGAAAGATAATTTCTAATTATTCAGCACTTTTCAGTGTGAATTCAGATCTCCATGTAACTGAATCAGTATATTTCACCTGAGGTATAAGGTTTTTCTGAATTCTCTTCAGCTTTGCTTTCTTTCTGCCGTTCTTGGTCACCACAGTCTCCTCATAAAATTCATGAGCCAGATCTCCATCTTCATCAAAATACAAGGAGCTGCAGCAAACAGACGCATGAATGTCACAAATACAAGAAATCTTGCTAACACTTTTTAAAACTGTTAGTAATGTATTTATTAACATGAACTAAGCATTTATTCATGATAGTTTAACGTTTATTATTTCACAGCTGTCTAAAATACTTGATTCTTACACCCCAGTCACACGGGGCGTCAGTGTCAAACCTTCAAATTCACTTTAAATGGATGATGTCAGGCGTTGTCGAACTGCATTGTGGATCCGTCGGCGCCGCTTCACAGGCATGCTCGCTGCAGAAGTTGGGACTAGCTCAACTTTACAGGCGCCGATGGAAGCATCAGCCAATCAGATCGCTGTATGCAAATTCACCAGCTAGACAGTGGCCTAATGCTGACTGAATTTCATTGGCTGACACTGCTATGACGATCACGTCAGCCCCAACGTCAGACACGCCTTCAGTCAATTGTTGATGCTGAAGCCCCGTGTTAATAGGGCGTAAGACTTTTACCTCAATAAGCTCCTAATTTGCTGCTTATTAATAGTTATTAACCAGTTAAACTCTGCTGCTATTTTAGGATTTCTGCCTGGATTTTGCCTACTCAAATTTAAAAGCTTCCCAAATCCACAAGCAGAGGTGTAAATGCACAAATTTGGTATCATTTTAAAGAAAACCCTTTGAATTTTCATAAAACACTATTGAAAGTGTTTAAATAACTGTATATGTTGTCTGTGTTATAATTAACACCTGAAAAAAGCACGCTTTCTGTTTTTATAAACTCAAATTTAAAAGTGCACCTTTTAGGTTCTGTGTGGTCTAGCGAGCTGTAATTAATTTTGTTGATTCCTGTACATGTCTGTAATAATAGGAAAAAAGAAAAATGTCTCTATCATAATCTATGCAAAAGTTATTGTATTCCAACTGATGAGAGGTGCTACACAAGCCACAGGGATTGATCATTGTTTTCATATTTCACTATTCTTTTGTTTGATCAAACATAATTCACTGTGTTTGGACCACATCAGACATATAAAAGGATTACTTATGCACATCACCTCAAAAACAGAGGAGAATGGCCCTGAAGCACACAGCATAAGGTGAGAGATGACAGCTGTCTGTGCTATCTGGGGCTGCTTATTGATCATAAATGTATTGTTTTCACTTCTACACCATGGAAACACCGCGATTCATTCGGAAACTGTTTGAAATGTGAAAATAATTCAGTAAAAAGAATGCTAGAACCGTATGAGCACCGGTAAGAGCTTTCATTTGAGCTATAACTTGTACATGTGTCATATGAAAAATATGGAAATGAACCAATGTAAAATACCCAGCTCGGGGATCCAAAACACTGTGTATTTAAGTGTAAATAACTTTTGTACAGTAGAATAAAAACCAAAGTGATGCATATGTGTATAAAATATAGATTCTACACTTTCAAACGAAACCACTTACGGGGGTCTGGTGCAATGCTAGCCCTTTAAATCTTAAAGCGAAAGTCGATAACTCCGGTACCGGGTCTGCAGAGTTTAAGTGGTTAAGGTAGTAGTTAGGGTTAAGTATTAGGTAGGAATATCATGCAGAATATGTACATTATATATACTAATAAACAGTTAATATCTTAATTATAGCCAGGTAATAAGCCACTAGCTAATAGTGAAAATTGGTGCTTAGACTAAAATGTTCCCATTTCTCGTCCTACATAGGCAAACTAAAGTAAACAAAATACATTTGGGATGAAATGCGAATATTCGTACTGCAGGTGATACTTAACCTTGACGATCGCAGGTTTTCCTCACATGTTCTAAACTATTTTATTATCACAACACAGTATTTACCTTCTCCTTGTGAAAACAAATGGTGTGGCATTCTTGGATCCTCGCAGACGTGCTAAACACTGTTCGCTGCCCTCCCCGGGAGCTTCTCCTCCAGCCGCTGAGCTGGTAAAAGGCCAAACTCCTTTGGGTTTGGATCCACTGCCTCCCATTTTTATAGACAATGCATTATTCTGCAGGAGATGCACCAGCCAGCAGATCAGATTCAGTCCTGAAACGCAGAGAGTGTGTTACAGACTTCAGTTATAAATATAAAGTCATATGGCACTGCATCTGGACTTGTGGTGTGGCTTCAAAGCTCTGCTGTGGTTGCACCAGCTGTCTGAACTCGATGGTTTGGTCTTTTTTTATGGTTTGTAATACCTGAAGTCCAAAATGAGCTCTAAATTTGAGTAACAACTGGCTTTAGGGGATGGGAATGTTTAATCCTTGTGGACTGTTTAAATTTACGACCTTTAGTTATGTTAGAGATGATGACTGAAATAAACTGCTGTAAAAAGGCATTCAATGAACATAAATATAAATTTATAATTATGAATTAAATATATTTTTGCATAAATCTGTTAATCAACGTCAGCCCTAATCAAAACTACTAAATGTTTTTTCAACTCTTTAATTTACGAGTTTACAAATGATGTCACTGATTTAGTGAAAAAAAAAAACACACAAAATGATGTATATTCAACATAAAAAGTAGTTGTGGGCTGGATTTTTTTGACCTTTTATCTCAGTCTTGGATATGTGAACGATATGTAACAACATTGGCTTTGATGCATTGTTAGATTTTAAATTGTTCTCCCTAATTTACTGTTGGTGGCTGTTTTTGCCCCATTGACTTCCTGTTACGATGGGCTTGCAAAAATTGTGCAGCAATTGAAGTTTTAATAAAAAATAAGGGGACAGGCCGGGTACAAAAATCGAACAGAGACAAAAAGTACAACACAAAGAACAAAAGTGAATCAAACAATGTTTGAACAGGCATTCAAAAATATAATCATAACGTGAAACAAAGCGAACAAACAAACAAACAAACCAAAACGATGTGTCAGTGAGCAGACTAGGACCAGGGGTCCGTTCTTCGTACGTGGATTACTCAGTTAGCTGGATTTGGATGTTGACGATTTGACACGATCCAGGATCGTTTCGTTCTTCAAAGCTGATCCGAGAGTTGTTGTCATAGCAACAGTTCTGCTAGCTCAAACCTGATCGGAAGGAGGTTCAATTCATATAAACAGGATTAGATTGGGTCAGTTCAAGCAAAGATAATAGAGAAAGTATGTACCGAATTATGATATTTTCTTACAGTAGTAGTTATATACACTTGGGAAAATAGTAAATATTTTTTTACTATATAAAGTTAAAATTATTAATAAAATAAATAAAGTTAAATATATTAATAAAACTTATGCAATCTGCACCCCCCAAATGAAAGTACAAAGACTGCCACCTGGTGGTGCGAAGAGAAAACTTATCGATATTAACTTTTAATGTTTCACAAAAGTTGCAGATGCCTTTACCAATATCAAAATGCTTTTGTAAACATCCAGTTATTCCATACAGCGATTAAAAAAACGGCTACTATAATAAAGAAAATCTTTTCTAAATGTAGAACTAAATGCATTGATTTGCATTGAAATACATGATGAATACTCTTGACACATGAAAGTGTAAAGCCTGCAGTTCACAACAAATGTGGAAGGTTATTGCGTGTCATATTTAACAAGCCGTTTACTGCGAATTTGATGTAATTTTGCTCACATGGATAATTGAATATTAATCAGATTATGTCATTACGCTGCTGTGCCGTCAGCCAATCGTTGCATTGCTGATCATGATTTCGAGGATCGATAGATCTGTCCTTCACAACACACTCAGCGATCTCAGATCAGTTTATCCAGACATTGGCTGTTTCTCAATTCCAAGAACGCAGAGAATGGACTTGCGTTCTTGTAGAGTGCGGTCTTGCCAGGTGTCCTCGGAAGAACGAACTCAGGAGACCGCGAGGGCAGAGAACGCGTCCTTTGAGAAATGGGATGCTGCGTTCTTCCAGATGGTCATGTGACCTTCACGCGTTTTAAATGGAAATTATTTAAACATTAAAGCCTTCATACAACGATTTATTGTTTCCCCCCTCTTCAAAATATATACTTTGCATAAAAACATTATAAATATACTCAACACAATATAAATAAAACAAATTTTAATACGAATTTCATCAAACAAACACCCTTAATGTGTTTATTCCTTTATTAAGATGTTCATGTTAATGTTTACTTTCACCGTTTCATTTAGGGAAACTCCTGAGGTAAATAAATGATATCTCTGAACTTTAATAATAAATCTAAATAAAATGCTGCGCTTCCCACCTCCAGTCGCAATGACTTCTGGGACTTCCAGAGCGAGCTCGCTGCTGAAGTCTGCATCAGTGCGTCCTCGATATCAAGAACACATCCGGGAAGTTTCACGCGTCCTCCGTACTTGCGGTCTTGAGTATTGGAACTGAACTTAGGCAGCTGATGATGACGTTGCACGAGAACACGAGGACGCAAGACCGCTGAAGAACCAAGTGTGCCGCAAGCCTACGTTTGAGTGAAGGTTTCGGCCGTTAGATCGCCCCCTGGGGGCTGGCTGCAGTACAAGTCATAAAGCCCGCCTCCTCCGTGTTAATGAAGGAGACTTGAGCCCAAATAAAAAAAAATATTACACTTGCAATAAAATGTCCCGAAAGATAGTTCTGGTCGATTAAGGCACTGGTTATTGTGCTGAAATAGGTGCAGATCTTCATTTTTGTAAACAGTTTGTTTTTAGCAGTAATTTAATGCTGGGCGTGTCATCGTGATTGACAGCTGTGATTGACAGTTTCTCAAAGCAGCGCGTCTGAGCTTCGGCAGGAGACTGAAGTGTTATTATTCGATTTCTGTGTTATTTTACCATGACAAAATGAGTTCAGCAGTAAACTATAGTTTCTGACATACATGATCCTGGTGGAACACTGTTTATTCGCTAAGTTCAGGGCTTTTTTCGGGCTTTATTAGTTTGCTGATACACGCCTAGCCACCCAGATAGCAAAACACAGTTCCGGCTAGATTCTCGCCTGCCGGAGACTTATCTCTTAGAGCTCAGACTGACTAATGTTACCTCTGCTGGACCTACTCCGGATGCCTGGACTCACTGCCCGATTCCAGTCCGAGTCAATCGAGCCAGATGCGGTGGCCGAGCGAGCAGGCGCTGCCGCATGCGAGCCGGAATCAGCCCTCGACGCCGCGAGTAAGTTATGCGCTGCGGCCTGGAGCTGGCACGATTGAATATATAAAACCCTCATATTTGTTAACGTTATTACATCCATTTGTGTTGATATGACAGCAAACGCATGCTGAGAAGTTCGGGGGGCGTAGTTGATTTTACATAAAGCGTTTGATTGGAAGCTCGACTCTGCTCATTTTCGCGGCTCCTCCTCTGGCTCCATCAGACAGTCCTTCTGCGCATGACTGGCTCCAATATCAGCAGTCTTTTGCGACAGTTTGTGCCCGTCAAGCAGGCGTTTTGCCCTCAAGGCGTTCAATGGGAAAAAGGGCTGTCGCGTCGTCCATATTTTTTACAGTCATTGTGAAGAACGCATATTGAGAAACAGCCATTCTAATCTGATTCGCGAACTTGTTTGAAGAACCAAATTAGCGAGAGACCAGTTATCGTGATTAAAAGATCCAGGATCTGCCAAATCATCTTAGATCATTTAAGCGAGGTACGAAGAACGGACCCCTGGAAAGAATTAGTGATCACGTGAACTACAAAACAGGAACAAATCAAAACATAACTAGTGTCCAGAAAACCACAAGACGGCACTACAGCAGACGTGACGCTTCCATTATAACCACATTTGATAGTGCATAAATACAGTCTTTGTTTTTATTTACTCAATGCAGTTCTGAGAACTGAGATGCCTATTTTAATTTTCTCAGACACATCAAGGTAAGAGTGTAAAGGTCACATTCACACACTCACAGACACACACTTTAATTTGCTGTTATACTCCATATAAGATACAGAAACTAAGCTTTTTTGCACAGGCCTATCTAAAGGGTTAATGTGCCAACTGATGACCAACAGTACAAATTATAAATTTGGCCTCTTCCCAACAGGGAAAACCACTAACAATCAAAAATGCATGATTATATGGTGTCATGGCTTTTGTAATCAAAAAAGTGTAGTTAAAATGAAAGTCAATGAAGCAAAAATAGCCACCAACAGTTAATTAGAAAGAAAAGAAATGAAAATCAATCAAAAACAATGTCCAAGACTGTGATAAAAGGTCAAAAAAATACTTTTTATATTGAAAATACATCATTTTGTGTGTTATTTTTTCATCAAATCAGTGACATAATTTATGAATATGGCAATTAAAAAGTTAAAATCCTGCAATTTTTATAAGAAATTTAATAGTTTTGATCAGGACTGAGGTTGATTATCAGATTTATGCAAAAATAGTTTGGAAAAAAAGTTTTTCCAAAAAACTGTATCTGATGCATTTTTGCATGTGTTAAAACAAGATTAGTCACCACAAATCTTTTTGCTAGCTGATACACAGAAACACTCAAAATCACCCCGGATTGGATGAAAACACCCCCAACAGCAAATAAGAGTTAAGGAAATAGCAACATGATGAAACAATAATAATTTACTTTTTATTATAGATTTTTTTAATCATGTACTATTTAATTTGAACTAAATTCTAACAAAATCATTTGTGAATTTTAATAATACACAATCATATCATAGCCTCTTTTACCATAATTTCACCTACTAAAATGCCACTAAACATAGCAATAATTTAAACACCAAATAATCATAATTAAGACAAGAATATTTAATGACATATTAAAGTAATCTACTTGAGAAATAGTACACCAAAACCTCATTATTTTAAATCTTTACAATTTTCAATCTATCAATGCAGTACAATTATTTGAAGTAAAATAAAATTGTATAAGCCTATATTATTATTATATTACATATCAATGTAATAAATGTATATATTTAATCAAATACATGTCTGAATGCTTTCATATATTTTATATATTGTATATATACATTCATATTGTACACGTTATTATGACACAGGCAGTGGCAACAGTCTCCAAACACACAGATTTTGCTGGTTAAAACTGTAATCCCAGTTGGTCAAAGCTGTAATCCCAGTTAGTTAGCAGACTAGCCCCATACCTTTAGCCAACCTTATACTCACAACTAAACCCTGTTTTATAGATCTCTGAAATTCAATATATAAATAAATACAGCAGTTTTTCCCTTTTCAAAACGTTACTGACTCGCAGTGTTAAGGCAGAATGTTCTAGAGTTGCTTGCAATGTAAACAAGACAGAATCCATTCACAGCCATTCAGCACGCAAGAAAACACGACTGTCGCGCATTTCAACTCATCGGTTCGATCAAGTTTCAAGACAGAAAACATTGAAATAAAGGACAAAGTGAAACGCTTACATACAGATCACGTAAAGCTCATTGTTTTGAATATTCCAGTCTGCTGTCTCCAAGCGCAATGACGTAGTTTGCCAACGTCACATTACCGCGCCACCTAACTGAAACGAAAGGAGCTTGTTTTTTAATATTATTTCTCCGTATTATATTCGTATTATATCTGTCTAATTTAAATATAAAGTCCCATTGTTAATTACTGTCTTATTACCTGATTAATATTATTGGCAGTTTAGTAGTAGGCCTATTAATAGGCTTCTTATAAGTATGATCTTATTCTACATCCCTAATCAAAAACCCAGCTGGGTCTACTTTAAAATTAAGCAGCAAATTAATACTTTATTGAGCTAAAAGTCTTTAAAATATAATAAATTGTTAAAATAATTTATTCTTTATCATATCATTACAATATAGCATATTTGTTTATAGCTACATGTTATTAAATTGTTAAAATATAGCCTATTTCTGTCCTTTCTTGCATCTATCTATCTATCTATCTATCTATCTATCTATCTATCTATCTATCTATCTATCTATCTATCTATCTATCTATCTATCTATCTATCTATCTATCTATCTATCTATCTATCCGTCTGTCTGTCTGTCTGTCTGTCTGTCTGTCTGTCTGGCTGTCACATTAGTTTGAATATCAATTCCCATTGTTAATTGTTGTCTTATTTCTTGCTTATTATTAAAGTATTGGCTGTTTATTAGTAGGCTACCTGCAAAGTATGATGTTATTGTATATCCTTAATCGTAAACCCAACTACTACCTATATTAATAAGCAGTTAATTACTTTACTTTAATAACGTTAATAGTAGGAATTGTACCTTAAAATAGAGTGACCAACATTTTATACATATATTTTTTAAATAGTCCATATAGCATGTGATCTATCCGGTCTTTTTCTTTTTGTTTAAGTACGTGTATTATATTATATTATATTATATTATATTATATTATATTATATTATATTATATTATATTATATTATATTATATTATATTATATTAATTGTAGCTGCACAGTGGTGCAGTGTGTAGCATGTTCACCTTTCAGTAAGAAGGTCACTGGTTTGAGCCTTGGCTGGGTTAGTTGGTCTTTCTGTGAGGAGTTTGCATGTTCTCCTTATGTTGGTGTAGGTTTCCTCTGGGTGCTCCGGTTTCCTCCAAAAACATGTGGTATAGCTGAATTGGGTAGGCTAAATTGTCCGTGGAGTATATGTGTGAATGAGTCTGTATGGATGTTTTCCAGTGATGGTTTGCAGTTGGAAGGGTATGCGCTGCGTAAAACATATGCTGGATAAGTTGGCGGTTCATTCCGCTGTGACGACCCCCAGATTATTAAAGGGACTTAGCCGAAAAGAAAATGAATGAATGAATATATTATATTACATTATATTATATCAAGTGTTGGGCAAAGAATATTCATGATTAATTGCATCCAAAATAAAAGTTTGTTTTGGCATAATATATTTGTGTGTGCTGTGTGTATATAAAAGTGCACACATGCATGCATATGTTTAAGGAAAAAAAGTAATTTTAAGATATATATATATATATATATATATATATATATATATATATATATATATATATATGGATGTAATACACTATATATCATTTTTGTTGAATATTTATTTTTTTATGTGTATCACATATACGTTCATACCAAATAAAAATAATACACATATTGTAGGAGCCATACATTGTATATTGGCGATTGGCCACAAGGTGTCAGTACGACACTATATAACTGTGGCTTCACTGCATAAAGGAAGACAGTGTTGGTAGGAAGCACACAGTTTTTGACCGTATCGTATGGTATCATCTCGTAATTGAAGGTAACAGAGAAGTGTGCTTTTAGATAAAGGAAAGCGATTGAGTAATTCTGTTGATTGGAAGTTGATTGGACAATAAATATGTTTTTATTTGCATCTATTTGCTTACGGACTCTGACTTTTTACGCGTTAAAAACTTGCTCACTCTACCAACAATAGCGGCATTGGTAAGCCGCTACAAAAAAGTCAAAAACTGTGCTTCGTGGGACAATTGAGACGCCGCTGGAGTGGACAGCAAGGCATGGTGTTTCTACAGACAAGGACAGCGACGTTCGTTTGGATCAAGGCTTCATTTGCTGCACGTGAGGACAGCGTTTCTTCAGCATCTGAGTGAGTTCGTTTGGATCGGCTTTCTTCTGGTTTCCTGCATTAAGGTGAATCTACGCTGCGTTCATCTCTTCGCGTTTGATAAACAGCACAATAGGTATGTTTGTTGCAACAACATCATCATCATTTTGGCCATATGGAAACAATGTGTGCACACAATAAGGTTTAAAGCGTAAATCCAATGCATTGGTTGCCCATGACTGACTGAACTTTTCTTATGTGTGTTTATTGGGTTTTACAATTTGCAAAATGGAAAATGAAATCAATTTGAATGTTGAAATGGTGAATGTGACTGATCAAGGTTTAACTTCTGTTGAAAATGAGCCTGAAAGGGAAAAAAGACCAGTTAAATTAACAGCTAAAGCTTTAGTTGAAAAACTAGACACTTTACAGAAGTTAAGAAAAGCAAAGCTAAACAAAGCACAAAAGCTAAAAGAGTCAATTAACAAACTAATATGTGATGACAATGAATACAAACCTGAGATACGTTTGGTCTTTGAGGATTTTAAGAGGTTGTGTTCAGAGGCAAAAGACACTCATGAGTCACTTTTGGTTATTTTACCGGTTGAAGAGTGTGAAAAACATGATATCTGGTTTAAAGCAAAAATGATATCAAACAATGAGTTTTTGGAACGAACAAATAAATGGTTATCAGATAAATCAGAAGGTCACAAAATATCTGAAGTGGAAAATCCAGAGAGTGATGTTGGTCCTGGAGATAGTGTGTCAAATGTATCACATGCTACCTCAAAACGCAGTAAATGCAGTGCACGCAGCAGCAGTAGTTCATCCATATCATCTGCCTGTATTCAAGCAGAGGCAGAAAAGGCCGCACTCATGGCACGTGCTGCTGCATTAAAGGCTAAACATGATATTGAAGTTCAGGAGGAAGAACTGAGAAGGAAAAAAGAGCAGTTGGACTTGGATGCTCAAATAGCAGCTTCCACAGCAAGGATCAGTGTGTTGCAGAAATTTGATCAACAAAGTAAATGTTCAAGCAGTTCATCTTCAAAGAAGATTGAAAAGGTTGTGGTCACTGCAAATTATTCTTCTCAAACAACATATTTAAACCCCAATGCAAATGACTATGTCCCAATAAATTCAATGCCACTGGATTTGGATGGATACACTGGTGTTTCTGCATCTCAAGCTGCAATACAGGATCAAAGGATTGGATGGATTGATCAACAAACATCGGAACATGCTAATGGTAACTGTTCTGCTCAAACACAACATGACTCCATAATTCAGCATGCTACAAATATCTTACCTGCACAGGGTGATCCTTTGCTTGAAATTCTGAAAAAACAGGAGGAATTAACAGCGCATCTTGTTCAACAGCAAGCAAATCCTCGTATTCTACCAAAGAAGGAAATTCCAACATTTGATGGTGACCCATTGCAGTATATTCCATTCATTAGAGCATTTGAGCATGGCATTGAGCAAAAAACAACCAATTTAAAGGATCAGTTGTATTTCCTTGAGCAGTTCACAAAAGGGCAGCCTAAAGATCTTGTTCGCAGTTGCCAATATATGTCTTCAGAAAAGGGCTATGCAATGGCCAAGAAGTTGTTGAAGGAACATTTTGGTAATGAGTTTAAGGTATCTACAGCCTATATGGAGAAAGCCCTGGGGTGGCCTACTTTAAAGGCTGAAGATGTGCAAGGATTGCAGGCTTATGCTTTGTTTTTGCGTACTTGTTGTAATACAATGGATGAACTCTCATATATGCAAGAACTTAACATGCCTAGCAACATGAAATCAGTGGTTATGAAGCTGCCTTACAAATTGAGGGAGCAATGGAGAGCTAAAGCCTGTCAGATAATGGAGTCTGTTCATGGCAGGCCAAAGTTCTGTGACATTGTTGAATTTATTGAAAAACAGGTTAAAATGGCATCTGATCCTGTTTTTGGTGACATTCAAGACAAGCATGGTGCAAGTAAACTTAAGGTTCAACCACACAAGCCCTTTACAAGAAGTAGTTTTGCTACTGACATTTCAACTTCTATTCCAGCAAAGAAGTTCAGTGATGCTTTAGCACAACCAAAATCTTGTCATGTGTCTAAGTCTAATGGAGACTGTTTGTTTTGCAAAAATCAGCATTTATTGGAAAGGTGCTTTGCATTAAAGAAAAGAACACAACGTGACAAGATTGAATTCCTGAAGGCCAAGGGAATTTGTTTTGGCTGTTTAAAAACTGGACATAAAAGTAAAAGATGCGAGAATCGACTGAAATGTGACATTTGTGGAGAAACACACCCCACAATCCTGCATATTTATGGCAAAGAGGTAATACTGAAGCAGGCTGAAGAAAAGCGCAAAGATACATCTGTGCAAACTTGTGGTCACACAGGGGCCGGGACTGAAAGAACTTTAATGTCAATCATACCAGTTCAAGTCAAGGCCATTAAAAGTAACAAGGTGATGCAGACATATGCTTTTTTGGACCCAGGAAGTTCGGCCACTTTCTGTTCTGAACACTTGCAAGAGGAGCTGAATTTGAATGGAAAGAAGATTAATATTCTGCTTCGTACTATGGGTCAGGAAAAGTCTGTGTCTTGCAGTGTTATTGATGGTCTGGAAATCAGTGGTCTTAACACTAATAATTTCTTTCCACTTCCTGCTGTTTACACACAACAGAAAATGCCTGTGAGTTCTCAGAACATCATAACTCAAGAGGAGTTATCCAAGTGGTCATACCTGGATAAAGTGAAGATACCTTGCATTCAAGCAGAGGTTGATTTACTGATTGGAATTAATGCAGCTAATGTGATGGAACCACACAAGATTATTAACAGTCAAGGTAATGGGCCTTTTGCCATTAAGACCCTATTGGGGTGGGTTGTTAATGGGACTGTGGAAGGAA